TTCCCTTGCTTGGCCACTGGGGCTGTGCCCACATGAGTCTGGGCACAGTGGCCAGGCAAGCAGAGCCGGGCGCTGCGGGCCAAGGGGACAGGCAGGGGTGGCCAGTGCTAGCAGGAGATGGGCAGTTGTGGGAAGCCTGTGGCACAGGCCAAGCTCCTACAATGTCCTCACGTGGAGGAGGAGAACAGGGAGACCTCCGTGGGGCAGGCGCCTCCCGTCCTGGAGAGCTGGCACCAAGGCAGGCCTCGGACAAGCCCTCACGGATGGCTTCCACTCTACACTGTGCACTGACCCCCACCCCACAGGGCCCACCACCCTGCCTGGCCCCCAGGCCTGGCCACACTGGCCACGGATCTCTCCCGGGCAGGCCCCACTCAAGGTCCCTTTCTCTGCTGGGCCGAGTGGACATAGAGTGGGGCTGGACAGAGGGCCTGTCACATCCCGGGGGCTGCTGGACAGTCATGGGCACTGTTCCTGGGACACTGCTAGACTTGGGCTGCCAGGGTCCCCCTTCCTCAGAACCCAGAGTCCCCCAGGTCACTCTCAGGTCACAACTTCTGTAGAAGTCCACTGACAGGTGCCCACCTCCTACCTGCACAGGTGAGCTGGCTGTCCCTGAGCCCTTGGGGACACCCTGAAGAACTGGCAGTGCAGAGGCCAGGCTTCCCCAAAAGGCCCAAAGCTTCAGACACCGCAAGCTGCCCCCATTAGGTGGGGGAGAGGTGTGGGAAGCACAGAAGCAGAGGCCAAGGGCGCCTCGAAGGAGAGGCTCAGCGATAGTTCATGAGGTTGAGAAACACGGTTGGGCTTTTGGTACAACTTGCTTAGCTGTGAACTTGTGCCGAAGTGTCTCACGGCTCTGTGTGAGACAAGCTCCGCTACTGATGCCAGCCCTGAAGGCTTCGGACATGCTCTGGCCCATTACCCCTTTCTTTCTGCCTGTTTCTTTCTTTCTTTCAAAAAAGATGACCGGTAAGGGGATCTCAACCCTTGGCTTGGTGTTATCAGCACCACACTCTCCTGAGTGAGCCACGGGCCGGCCCTTTTCTGCCTGTTTCTAATAAACACCCTATGCCTGTCCCACCACTGTATCTCAGAAGCAGATACCATTTTAATTCCACAGATGGGACTTTGGACCTTTTTGAGTTGGTGCTTGAACAAGTTAGGACTCTGGGGCTGTGAGGACGATAGTGAATGCATTTGTATGTGAGGACATGAACTTGGGGGGCCATGGGCAGAATGTTGGGGTTTACATGTCCCTCCAACCTCGTGTTGGCACTTAACTCCCAGTATGGTGGTGGAAGGTGGGCGTTTGAGAGGTGACTGGATCACAAGGACTGTGTGCTCGTGAATGGGTCGATGGGTTGGTTTAATGGGTTGTCATGAGCGTGGTTCTGACGGCAGCATAAGGAGGGCGGGTGAGAAGGTCACTCTCGCTTGCTCAGGCCCTTCTCACCATGTGACACCCTGTGTCTCCACGGACTCTACAGAGCCCCCACCAGAAAAAGGCCCTCACCAGATGTATTCCCTGGACCTTGGATGTCCCAACCTCCAAAACTATAAGAAATAAGTTTCGGGCCGGCCCGGTGGTGCACTGCTACAGTGCGCTGCTTGGGAAGCGCGGTGGCGCTCCCGCCGAGGGTTTGGATCCCACATACAGACCGGTTCCTGCTCACTGGCTGAGCGAGGCGTGGGAGCAACACCGAGGGTTGCGATCCCGTTGCCGGTCCCGGTCCGGTCCGGGCGCGACACTGAGGGTTGCGATCCGTTGCCGGTCACGAAAAAAGACAAAAAGGAAAAAAAAAAAAAAAAAA